CCCCAAAACCCCAAAACCCCAAAACCCCAAAACCCCGTATTTTTAGCCCATGATTGAAAACTAAAATTGAAGGGGAAAGACTGATGAATAGTCATCATAGAGATAAGAAAGAGGGAGATTTGAGTGGGAAAGGTGAAAACAAGATTTGATATATAACGTTGCCACTGGTTTTTCCTGAGAAAGACTGATTTGATCTTCCGAAGCTTTGAAGGCCAATGTCTTTGAGATCAGAATTAAGCAGGAATACCTATCGACCTAAGCTAAATTTTATAAACCTTACCTCTAACTCAATTTACAAGGACTACAACAACGTTGTAGACGACTTACTTCAAGGGATCAACAACGAGAAGCTAATCCCTAATCATCAGTGGTATTCTCTCTTTCAAAAAAAATCAATGAATGTGATCAATATATCACCAGAATCTAATCAAAATGGACGATTAATATTCGAAACATCTGGAACGTCTTATGAGAGTATCTCAAAAACTTGCTCTGAAGACACAAATGACTCTGCGGCTCCTTCTGAGCAATCTTGTTCTCGCAAGATTGCAGAGGATCTGCAGATCCTTCAGGACTACAAATACTCTTTGAGTTACACAAACTGAAATAGCCCACTCAAAAGAAAAAGAGTCATCGAGTGAAGATATAAAAACTGAAGAAGAACTTTCAACAAGACATGGAACTTCATTGATCATGCTAGGATGCATCTTGGAATTAAGCCTTATAAATGAAATCAATGAGGTAGGAAATTTACACAGAAAGGGAATTTGCGCAGGCATATCTGGAGGCATTCCTAGATACATTTCTTGCTCATAATATTTTTTGCGATAAATATCAACTCTAACTACAGCTGTCAGCCCAGAAGCTGTCAAGCAGCTTCTGGTGAGTGTCTGACGTGCATTTCTGGGGATTTCCGGATTATAAAAATTGAGCCAACCATTACTTATAATTGAGATTATGGATTCGTCAGAATAGTTCTGACGATATAGATAGTGGATAAAGATCAGCATTCGTATTTTTCAATTTGAAAAAGAAGGATAGGGGTTTTGGGGTTTTGGGGTTTTGGGGTTTTTGGGGTTTTGGGGTTTTGGGGTTTTGGGG